TGCACTTTTGTTTGGCTTACTTTACAAATCAAAAGTCTGTGTTGAAGAAGGAAACTGGAGTGGCACCATGGCCAACAGTGGCATCAAATACTCGTGTGTCTCGGGCAAGGCGATGACATATTCACAGAGTTGTTCAAGCTCATCATTGTATTTCTCGGTGATGGCGATGGTGGCACCATTTCGAGCTTTCACTTCTTCAATGTTTGACTTGATTTTCTCGTACGTGGCATCTGCTCTAGGGCAAACGACAACCACAGGCATGAATTCATCAATCAAGGCAATTGGGCCATGCTTCATTTCTGCAGCAGGGTATCCTTCGGCATGAATGTATGCGAGCTCTTTGCATTTCATTGCGCCCTCTAAAGCCACAGGAAAGTTGCAACCACGCCCCAGGAAAATGAAGTTCCTTGTCTCCACAAGGCCAATCGCACCCACAAATCCAAATAGCATTTTATATTGTCCTACTCTTTTCCCTAGACTGAAGCCGCAAAGAAGGGGGACAAGTTCCGAATCAGTAGAGCAGCTGCGCAAGCACATTTTGACAACCGATGTCCCACAAAGGACACTCTCCAATACCGATGGGCTTGTCTGTAGATGTCTGCATCAAAGGTTTGGCTTCACGATCAAGGACCTCTTTCATACTCTCAGGTAGTTCCTGTAGGCGTTTCACCTCAGGTTGAAAATCCAAAGGCACAACTCAACATCAAATCAATAAATGTATATAATTAATGTATAGCGTGTGTATGCATTCATAGAGGGAGAGCCAATACCACCTGATTTGTCAACAAACTATGCTACATTGGTCTATGTCTAGTATTTGGATCTTGCGACTAAGCGCTGTCTTCTCTTCAGTATGTTTGAACAGGCTGTTCTAGCATTCAACGTTCTATGCGCCTCAACGTCCCCTGTAACGGCTTCTCTGTGCATGTGTTGCATTCTGTGTGTCATCACTTCACCAAGTCCATGTCTCCCATTAGGAACAACGGGCATCGCTACTAGGAGCAAGGACGCTACTAGGGTCTCCTGGCCTTACTACTAG